CGTTTGTTCGAGTTTGAGCTAAAAGTGGGCCTAAGCTTCTACTACAACCTTTGGGACAGTGACTTGGGGTCACAGAGTTTAAGAGCCTAAATTCTCCGTTCAATATATATGCATACTATATATTATAGTACAATTGTACATATAGGTATTGGTACATTATAAAGCACATGCGCATTTCCAGTAGCAGCTCCATTGCTTTGGCGTTTGCCAACCTGGTGGGAGCTGCCATTCGTCTCCAGCTCGTGCAGACCTGAGGAACGGCCAAGAGACCCAAGCGAGGCACCGGTGTCTCCAGCAGTTGCGTGGCCATAAGGAGGCTGACAGCTTCGTGCACATGCTGGGCCACTTGGCGAAGGGATTCGGGAGGTCATGCGGTGGCGCACCAGGGGGGAGGATGGATGAGAGGATGGGGGGATGGGTCAGGTGGTCAAACTGAAACGGAGGAGACCTTTATTGCTCGAATAAGAACAGGCAAGTCACCATCATCAACCTGGGACTTCCTGTTCCTGTTGGAAGAAAAGTGGCTCATGCGGAGCTGCAGTATGCTGTTTGATCATTAATTTGAGGACAACATGTTTGTAAACAAGCATCGTTTGGAACTTCTAGTGTGGGAGAACTGCTTGCATTGGATCCAATGCTTGCCATTGCTTCCCCAATTATATAGTGGTATGTTCATTGCACAGCAAGTCATGTGATGAAGAATTAAATTCGAGAGCACAGTCGTCATGTGTTAGTTCAGCAGTCTTCTAAGCCAACACTATGGGTTTGCGCGAAACAATTTCCCCCAGCATTGTCCGGTGCAGCAATGGGCCAAAAACTGCTGTTGGACGTGTGTAAACACATTCCTAAATCATGGTAGAACAAATAATTATGAATCCATATGAATCCCATCCTCCTGCGTTCCCACTATATACTTGCAGCAAAACAAAACAGGTTCAAAAGGCCTTGGATCCCAAAACGATCGAGGCCGCTGCGAGATTTGGAGATGTGCGACCCGCGCACGCTTGAGGATGTCGGCAGGCCCCGGAGGAGCCGCTTTTGGAGGGAGAAAACGAGCCGTCAGAGTGGTGAGTCCTTCCCAGACGTGATCACATGTGGTAGGATGGAAGTGATGAAGTGGTTCTTAGGTTAGATATGTGGAGCACTGTGAATCTGGTTAGGCCAAGGTGGACAACAGATGCTGCCTTGTCTTAAGAGATCAGGAGATACCGGGAGAGAGAAATTATGATCATGACAGGTGAATGATGGTGAATGTAACACGGAGTCACGTCTCCATGAGACTCCACAACACATCAAGTGTCATGAGACCATACCCTACGCCTACGCTGCCATCAAAGGCCAGGCGAAGTCAAAGTGCCAACCGCCAGGAGGCTTGAGTTCCTCACCAGAGGCCATCACCCTGGTGGATGCGCTAGGGCACTATGTGACGCTGCGAGAGGAGGGGTTGTTCTAAGAGAAAATAGCTTGGAAGCTGAGCTGATTTAGGAAAGAGCTCTTTATTTAGATCAAGAAAAGCTGGCTGATGTTCAAAGAGAAAGATATGTTTTTACATGTTTTTACTGTGGAGGAAGCTACTAGGTTGGAGGCCGTCGCTATTGGGGTGGAGGCCTGGCTATTGGGTTGGAGGCCATCGCTAGTAGGTTGGAGGCCATCGCTAGTAGGTTGGAGTCAGTATATACTACTAAGTAGTAGCAAGAGGCTACTAGGATTTTCACGCGTCCAAGTCCACGATTCTCATGAAGGGGGCTCCGAAGACCTGTTTCGGCGTTCAAAGCTCTCATTCGCAGCTGGCGCCAAAGCTGGCAGGTCCTTTCACGTGGGTCTTTCAACAGTGGCTACCTGGTGTTTGCAGTCGTTAACAGATGTTAACAGCTAACAAGCAAAGCACACAATGCCGCCTCCCAGCCATCCTACAAGTTGCACTTTCCTGCCATCGCATGTTTGTCCGTATGGTGAGGTCGCCGCTCCCGAGTCGCCTAGCTTCTGGATTCTTCCCCTGTGGAATGGCTAGGCAGGTTCACCAAAGGATTCCTTATACAAACTAAACACCTGAAGGTCTCACATTCTGAGGTGCACCCAGTTTTGTGAGCGTACCACTGGCCCAAGATGGCTTCAAAATCACGAATGGGACACTTCCAATCAAGATTGTCGACCGGGCTCACGTTCCTTTGTGGCGCTACAGAAGAGCTGAAGAGCTAAGCATCTAGCCAGCAGAGCTTTGCCAGCAGACCCAACTACTTTGGGGGGCAACACATTGGGCGTGCGCCCGGTCTACTTGTGGCATTCAGGAAGCTGCCACGGGTCCAGTGCTCAGTGCCTGGTCAGGACAATCACCTCGAGGCAGTGGAGGAGTCCTTTGTTCCAGAAGCACTTTTCTACTTGAAGGATCCTGGCCCGAACGCATCGCGCCGGGAAATAAGTATAACTATACTCGATAGTACTCGTAAGCCCTTCCCAATATCACGAAACGGCCTAGTATCCAGGAGCAAGACTGATTTGCATGTAACTAACAAATGCTGTTTTCGAAAGAGCTAATGGTTCAAGAACATATAGACAAAAGGTGCTTCAACGAGGGAGCTTCATTTGATGAGTTCTCACCGCAAAAGGTTCCAAAAGGTTGGGCGCTAATCATGTAACCGTAACCCGAGACGGTTACGAGCATCGTTTTGTGTTATGACCATCGGCGGTACCGACTTCCTCGGTTCTTTGCGGTCGATTTTTGTTGGACCTGTGAGCTCCTTTGGCATCGGAGCTCCTTTCAGGTCCGACCTGTGAGGGACATGTGTTGTTTGGTGGAAATGTGTAGGTTCCGCCGGTTCAAACTCAATCTATACTAACCTGGTGGGGAAGAACAAGATCTGCTCACAAGGTGCTCAAGGTGCAGAACCAGCCTTGGATTGTGGTTGGTCGGTTGGTCGGTTGAAAGGAGCAGACCCAGGCAACTTCAAGCCTGAATGGTCCAGGTCTTGCTCCATAGTCACCATCAGCCACCCATCCACGTTCAGTTCAGAAGTCTTATAAAGTCTTACCCGTGACCTGTCGACGAAGCTGGGCCGACCACGCACTCCGGTGGTTTGATTGTGCGACCAAGAAGGTGCGGAGTGGCCAGTACACCTTGAGGGCTGCAAATGGACTCTTTCTGAAGGCAACTCCTCAAGGCGCAGAGACGAAAATACGTGAAAGTGAGAAGAGATGGAATCAGCAAATTGCTACAGGTGACATATATGATCATATATATATTGACTGGGACTTCAACAATCATGGAAGGCCTATTGACTCAGCCCAGCATCGTGAAGGAAAATGGTCTTCCACCGGGCCAACCTGGCCTGCCTTCCATGATTGTTTCAGGGAGTTAAAGGCATGGTCAGAGGACTTGCAGGCATCGATGCCCTGACCTTGCGCAGGAACCTTGGTGGCAGAGACGCATCACTGGGATGATTGGGAGGTCTTCACGCGAGTGGAGGAAGTCGATGGAAAGGCCAGGCCAAGGTCAAGTCGATGGTCATGTCTCGATTGTGTTTGAATCTTTTTGCCACCGAGTCTGCGGGCTGGAACGTGGGAGAACTGGGCATCTTGATTTCAATACTCGATGCCTAAGGAGGTCTTTGTCTCGATGCGTAACTAACTGATTTTCTCCTCCTCTCCCTCTCTCTCTCTCCCTCCCTGCTCTCTCCCTCCCTCCCTCCCTCCCTCCCTCCCCTCCCTCGCTCTCCCTCCCCTCCCTCGCTCTCGCTCTTTTTCTTGTTCCCTTTTCCCCTCCCTCCCTACAATACTGCATATCAAGAACAATAATTTTTACCACATGAGAATCAACCATCATCCTTACAGAGAGAGAGTGAGAGAGAGAGTGTGAGAGAGAGAGGGCGGTATTGAACAATCACCTGGATAAGATGTGATAAGGTACAATGTACTAGTACATACCTTTTGCAATAGGGGGCAAACCTCAGGAACTTCTTACATTTGCAAATCCACAAAAGGTATGCATATGTCATGCAAACCCGCTGCTCAAGAAGACTCCGAGCACACCAGCCCGGTGTGCTCGGTCCTGGGGTGTTTCGGTGGTTGTGAGTCAAAAACCTTCCCAAGTAAACCATGGTAGGGCCATGGCCTTCAACCTAATAGTGATGGCCTCCAACCTACTACTGTAGTTGACATCCTTACAAAGGGGGTCAACCAGAGTGTTAGGGTTTTGACCCACACCCAGGTTTCGCTGCCGCAATTGCCCACAGGTGGCGTTCAAAAGCTTCCACAACTCCTATATCTCTGTGAACCCCGAGGGCTACCTCTTCGCAGGCAAACCCGCAAGCACGGAACAGAGGGGTGACCAGTGGATTTCCGCTTGGCCCTCGACTACTAGCTACTTGTAGATGTGGAGCAGTAGAGCCCCGTTGCTCAACCTGATTCTAGGGGAACTTCCACTTTCGATCACATGCTGGAGTAATCAGCATGTCCACTCATGTCAGGGAAATCCTTCAAAATCATGTGCTCCCCAGTTTCCTGCCCAGCCTCGCAGTGAGTGTTTCCGATCCGTGCCTCGAACCAATTACACCTCGCCCCCGCTCCGCTCCCCTCCACCGCCACCGCTGCCCGAGGCGGCCGGCGCGACGCCGCACCGCTCACGCTGGCGAACCGCTCCCGGGCGGCCTGGGACGAAGCGACGAGTGCGCCTCGGCGACGAGTCGCGCAGGCGCCCGCGCAGGCGCAGGCGCGAAGAGTCGAGCCTGTTTTAGGAACGAATCCGGTGTATTCACCGAGTATGATCCATCGTGGCACAAGAAGTCTTAATAGACTGACCAGCGCACAATTAGAGAGAATGCATGAGAATGTCCAACTACCTCAATGCGCGGTGAAAAACATTGTTCTTAAAGTTTTGTCAACTTAGTCCTTAGATTCTTAGATGTCCTTGTAGTTACTATATAACTAATTATATGTGAATCGGTATGATAATATTTAGCACACTATTGTTACTATTTAACTTATTTCTCTATGCTAACTAAGTTATACCTTCCCTAGCTAAAACGTCTTATAGAGTAAGGAAGACCATAAGGCCCTCACCGTGGTGAACATAGACTGGTCAACACACCACCACCCACTGCGGTGGCAGCACACCACCGCAGTTTCACGCCGGTTGACACCTGTTTCAGTTGAAGAGTTGACGGAGGTACCTACAGGACCAAAACCACCACAGAGCGTAGTGTTTTGTTCCACTTTCCCTGACAGAGACTCTTGTGCAGACTGACATTCCACCCACTTGCTTGATCCTGCTTGCGACCCAATCGCAAGTACTGACAGTCTATGAAATGAACAACTTACGTGTCAGTATGAGATATCTTGCACCATATTGCACCCCTTTGGCTCGACACCCCAGACCGAATATATACTCAACAGCGCCCAAGTCGTCAGTCGCCCTGCCAAATCGCTGCATGCAAACACCAGGATTAAAGGGCGACTTTGAATAAATTGAACATTCAAGGGTCCAAAGACTATATTTGGCACCACGAATTCCTCAGAGTGGTCACCTAAAGACAATTTAAACATAGAATTAATAAATATATAGTTCGATAGACCCCCAGAATCAGAAGGCCAGGCCTGGAAAATCAGCTGCAAAAAAACACATCGCTATTCAAACGATCGCTTACGGTCGAGGTTTCCCAGCCGATGAAGCTCGTGTCGGAGATCTTCGATCACGCGATTTGTGCCTGGCCTTCGAGTGTGGCCAGCGTCCGATGCTGCCGCTCGGCCCATGCGTCCATCCCCCGCCCCACGGCAAAACCACTTGGTCCTGCATGATGTGGCACCCGGCTTTGTCAAGTGGTGTTGCCGGTGTTCCCCGGGTTCGGCGTAACAAAACGATGGGCAGAGCATGGCAGAGGCAGATTGAAGGTGTTTCACTGTGCCATGATCCTTTCACTCCATTGAAGAGCTTGGCGTTCCCAGCCCTCGTTCCTGTGGATTCCTGGCTTTGGTTTCCTTTCCATTCCTTTCCATTTGGATCATTCCAAGTGGCGTTGAGGCATGTTCGCCACATTTTCCACCACACGACTTCCCATGATTCCCATGATTGAAGATATCAGCGACCGGGGCAGAGGAACTCATGCTGCCTCGCGGAAAACCCATTCATGTGACTAGGTTCCAGCGAACGGGTGGTGCCGGAGGAGAGCTGCTTGGCTGACTGCTGTTCCTTTATGGTGTTTTCCATTGTTTTCCCGTGAGAATCGCTGATTGATTAGGATCAATTGATTGCTGTTGGCGCTGCAATTGATTGATTCATCGTTGTCCGATTTTGGAGAGATCCATTTCAACATATTTCAACCACTCGATCGAGATACATGCTGTAATTTAATTTAGTCAGTGTCAGTGTGGTGGATGCCGTCGATGTTCCTTCCTGGACGAGATTGGTGCCATTTTCCAAACCATTTCGCCTACGCACACGGGACAGAACTTGCCAAGGCTATGGCTGCTACTGGAATGAGACCTTCGCTGGTGCGCAGCAGATTTGTGCGCAGCAAGGTTTGACGCTTTGTGCACCAGAGTTGCTGAAGAGCTGCCAGGCGATCTGGGACAGGGGAACTGGCTGGGTCTTAGGTGTTGACTTCCTGGATGCCTCTGGCCTGATGGAAAGAGCCGCGTGACCATGTGTAACGGACCTCGCGAAGACAAAAAACGCCACTGGACCTCGGCCGCTCAGGGCTGCGGCACATGTGGCTTTTCTGGGCTGATTTGGAGCTCCTCCCCTTGCTCGGCATCAGACGCTGGACAGCGACGTCCGTCGTACTCCGCTTTTCACGTTTACCCACTCCTACTTTCCCGCGAACGCCAAGGTTTGTGGGAAGTAGAGTCAGCCGTACTAAGGAGTTCTTTCGAGGAAAACTCGGCAAATCGAGGAATCGAAGAACGGGTCGACGACGAGGTCGGACCGGTCCGACCGAATCGAGGAAGGTCGACCCCCAAACGTGGCCAGCGAGGCCATGACGGTGTGATGGTTCGCCCGGGTGAACATGGTGGGCTTAATTTTCTGGGACCCCCCCGGCGGGAGAGCATGGTTTGCAAAAGCTGCGGTTTTGATGAACAGGGTGAAGGCATGAGTGAAATCAAATGTCATCATAATTTTTGACACGTATAACTATAACTATAACTGTATAACATATATTATATAATTCATTCTTGACGATGCCCGTCATCAATAATTATTTCACATCCTACAAGGAGTGAAGACTACAACAGCAATGTGGAAAGAAGAAGTCAAACATGATTCAGTCTTCACAACTTGCAGGGCCATTTGATAGACCACAGCTGAGCTTAAAGTGATGTCATTCCTCCGTGGGATGGCCTGGCCAGAATCTGAGTGTTAGCTGGTGGCTTTTGGAAACACAGCACCTGATACATGCGAGCTTAGCACATGGAATCGAAACAATGTCCGTGGAGCATTGCTGGTGGATGGAATTCAAGCAAAAAGCATACTGCATCATCAATCAAAGGGCGGCAGGCCATCCGACTGAGGAAAGCTTGACGCAGCGTCGCTTCAACCAGAGGAACGACCGTGCCAGTGTTTTCAGCAGCCTTTGCACCTGGGATCGTAAAAACCCAGGAAGTCGGTCTTTTTTGAATACAGCCTCAGAAGAAACTCAGGCAGCCTTGGCAATGGGACATCAAGACCCCTTTGGGCCAATCCAAGAATTTGAGACGCCCTCAACCTTCCAAAAAGGGTTATATATATATATATTATATATAAAAACGTATAAAAAACACTTGTTGCGAGCCTTCTGAAGTACAATGAGTTGGTATTCCTTGTGTTGCCACTGAGTTGTTTGGCCCCCCCCCCTGATGCTTCGTGTTCAGAGATTTCAGAGAAGGACCGCAAACCAAACGGAGACGCTTTGGAAGGACGGAGGAACGCTAAACCGCCGGCGACCGACGGTCCCCCGTCGCCGTCCCTACGAGCTGGCGAGGTCCCTACGAGCCGAAGATGGGTGGCCGACACGGTCAAGAGCTCCGGTCCTCGGTGCTGGTGAAGCTCATGGACGGGGCGGTTCGACAAACCGGGCGGAAACCCACCGGCGGGACGGCGGGCGGTTTCCGTACGGTTGGACACCGGCGGAATGGACGATGTGTGCATGTGTGTGTATATATATATACGTATATTTGTGTGTGTGTGTGTCCACCCCTGGACAAAGGGCTCCTTTCACCATTTCCGTCAAGCAGGGGGCATGGCAGCTGTTTCCCTAGCCATGCCAACGAAGCTATGGGATTCAGCCGGAAGGGAATGTGGACGCACATTCCTGTACCTGCAACGTGAACTTTTGATCAAGCTGTCCAATTCGATCGGTTTGTTTCCATGGTCTTTCATGTTTTCCCCCCCCAAACCTCGCGGAGTTTCTTTGCAGCTTAGCTTTGCAGCCGACTCGCAGCGCACCGCTCGTTTCTGCAGACCTGAGAAACAATTTATGTTGAAACACCTACAAGTTCTCGGACTTTTCGCCATACTGTTCCACCGCCATCCTTCCCATCGGAGGAATTGATTAACTGAATACAAGTGTCAGAGTGTGTCTCGCTCAGCCGTCCCACTCGGGTGCTGAGTGTGATCCCCGTCACAGGGGCGCTGATTTTGCATGGGAAAGCAACCACCCCAACGCACCACCACTCACTGGACTCTCACAGGAAGGCACCGACACCCTCACAGAATCAACCGACATACCGGCCGCCGGGCCAAAAAACGGTTCTTGAAGAATACATCGGATATCAGCTTTCATTTTTCCTTTTTCTTTGCTTTCTTGACTAAAGAACTCAAACTCGCTTGCCTGAGCATACTTGACGGCTAAGTATTCACATGCCTGCGCTGCTAAGTATTCACAGGCCGGATGAATTCATCATGCACACCCCCCCCCCCTCCCTACCCCCAGGCCTCCGTTGCTATCCCACCCGCTACTGGGGAAACAGAAGGAAATCGCACTCAACACACTTGTGTGTTGGTGCCTTTCCTTCTGTTTCTCCTAGCTATTGCTAGCTACCCGGGCGGTTTAAGACGAATGTCCCGCTCGCCTTCTACTTTCGTTTAACTAAGTGGGCCTCGTAACTACACCTACTTTTCTTTCTTGCCCTCTTAGTCTGCTCTTGTTTTGTTGCTTTTTCTGTCTTTCTAAGGCTTTTTAGGTGTCTACTAGTTCTTCGTTGCGCCAACAATTTGGCGCTTTTTGTACAAATGTTCCCCTGGGAGTTAGGACGCTACTGGAGGCCCCTGGCCTTACTACTACTTTGACCGCGCCGAAAACGGCTCTGTGTGTGTCTCCACCCCTGGGCAAAAGGTTTTCTTCCACTGGTTCAACGGTAGGGGGTGTTTTGGGAAAAAAGCGCCGAAGCCGGCGACCTGTGTGTGTCCACCCCTGGACAAAGGGCTCCTTTCACCATTTCCGTCAAGCAGGGGGCATGGCAGCTGTTTCCCTAGCCATGCCAACGAAGCTATGGGATTCAGCCGGAAGGGAATGTGGACGCACATTCCTGTACCTGCAACGTGAACTTTTGATCAAGCTGTCCAATTCGATCGGTTTGTTTCCATGGTCTTTCATGTTTTCCCCCCCAAACCTCGCGGAGTTTCTTTGCAGCTTAGCTTTGCAGCCGACTCGCAGCGCACCGCTCGTTTCTGCAGACCTGAGAAACAATTTATGTTGAAACACCTACAAGTTCTCGGACTTTTCGCCATACTGTTCCACCGCCATCCTTCCCATCGGAGGAATTGATTAACTGAATACAAGTGTCAGAGTGTGTGCATGTGTGGGTATGTGGATGTTTTTTGACGTTGGTGTAGATGGTTTGGAAGGCTTAAATGCTCTAGAAGTATCTAGAAGTATACCATATACTATAATACCATACGTATGAGATGAATTGCTATTCTTGTTTTTGCTTGGCTTTTTGGTGGAGATATATCATTTACATCGATATTTCATGGCGCAAATGGCAGGTTTGCATGAATGGCATGAGGTCCGTTCTGATGTGCACATGGCTGGCAGGAGTGGAACTACAACGATGTCGCCAAAGAATGCACCGAGCCTTTTCCCAGTAAAGATGGCGGGTCCCTTGCGGATGTAGACAACCTGCAGGGTTGTAGGGATGCTGATCATCACCTCTTTGTGGTATGACGTACCACTGTGGTCTTTGGGGTAGAGGCAGATGTAGTCAAGTCACCAGCTTCACGTGTTGCTATCGGCCACGGACCATCAGCTGTTCGCAGAATTCATGCAAACAGCTGCTGGAACACCCCGTCTCGGAGACCGTCATGTTGGCACCGCCGGACCACGTCAACGGAACGGAACAAGGTGCTGAGAAAACCAGCTGGGAGATGGTCGGGAAAGGAGTCTAGACACCGAAATGCTCCGAATGGTCCTTCTCAAGCTTCTGCCTGCCCCCCCCCCGGTTGCCCAGAACTGAGACAGCCTCCACCTCGTAGGCACCTGGAACAAAGATGAATCAGATGAATCTGAGTTCCTTAAGCCTACTCCGTTTCAGACATGTTTGCCATGGGGGTGTTTCAGCGTTTGGGGCCATGTTCCGACCCCACAATCATAACACAACCTTTCTCACCAACGATGCGTGCGTTGAGAAACAGAAATGCAGCACCCGTGCTGAGGAGTTTCTGGGCCCCAATGGCTTTGAGGCGGTGCAGGTGGCACCAGTCACAGAACACATCTTGGGATACCAGTGGTGGGTGCCCCGGCGCTGCCCAGAGATATTGCTCATTCACACGCGCACGCCCTGCCCAGATGCCTGAACAGATTCTGCCCTTAAAAATCCTTAAAAAGCATCAGAAGACCCCAAACTGAACAAGAGATGCAGCAGAACATGATTTGTTTGTGCGGCAGGATGCGCAACTGACCCACGGCTAAGCGCGACGAAACCCATGGGATTTGGGGAAAGCGTCTCATCTCAGCAATCTCCCACACCTGTCGGAGAAGTCTACCGGGGAGTCGGCCTGATCATCGCCTCCTCAGGTGAAGTACCAGCCGGTCTCCGCAGGACTGGACTCCCGGAGCGGCACCGAAGAAGAGCTCCGGCAGATGGTGGCCACCTGCCGTGCTGCAGGCGAGGAGTGAGGTGCTTTTGTTTGGGAAAGAAAGCCATGTGACATGTGACTGGTCATAGTATGTTTGTTTGTCTGTTTGACATATATAGTTGGTCATATCATAGTCATTTTGCTTCATGCCTTGTGTGGTGGCTGCCTGGACTCTCCTCTATGTGATTTCCGATTTCCTGGACGCCCAGAGAGGCCATCCATGGGTTACGCCAAGGTTGGTGGTGCAAGGTTTGCCGCCCCATGTTTTGGTCCTTTTCCAGCTGAAAGGAGCGGTTCCATGTTTTTGTGTTCTTTTCCTCCTCCTGGGGCAGATGCAGCGAGCCCTTTAGATCTAATTTATTCTAATATATACAATCGGTCTTTCCAGGAGTGCAAGTGATCGTCGACATCCTGTTGAACCACATGGCCTCTCCCTGCAAGCAAGCCAAGAAGAAAAGTAAGTCAGGAGACTTGGCCTTAAAGGATCATTCGCGTGCAACAGAAGAAGAATCAGCGAACGACTGACCATTGGCTCGAGAATCAATGTGCTCCTCTTCTCAAAGCCTTAGCCACCCTCCCTCGATGAGAAACTTCAATGTTGGCATAATTATATAGATGTAATTAGGCATCCAGCAAGTGATTGTTCAGTATCAAGGCTCCTTATCAAGTGGGCTTTTCACCGAATCATCCACTTCTTCCATTGCCTACGCATCATACGGTATACACGGATCACACGCTGTTTGGTCACTGATCACTTGGAGGTTGAAGAGAGCTTGAAGAGAACCGTTCACAGGGGATATATCAGCTGTGGGGATTTGGTTCTTCATCACTTGGGTTCTTCCCTGTATACACTGATCTTCTGATCCCAACCTGAGGAGAGCTGGAAGAGATGCCGTGCCGGGGCTGGGCTGGTAGCAAGTTTGGAAGTCGACGGCAGCAAGGGGCACGCGGATGGGATGCTGCGGGGCCAGAAGCTTGGCTGAGAGACCTGTAAGATCTGTAAGCCACATCCTTTCAATTCCATTGATTAAAACCATATGCAAAAAGAACATCGAGTCATGCAGCTCTTGAGCTTTTTAGACTCATTGGGATGTTGGTCGGTTCATCGCCTGCCATCGCATCCTCTTCACGTCAGCTCCTCGCTTTCGCCGGTGCTCCGCGGTCCCAGGAGCACTTCCATCACCAAGCGGCCTCGTTGGAACAGCCCTTCTGAGCCTTGGCCACACGGGCGGCCACTGGGGGCCAATCGGAAAGGCCACGACACGGGCCGCCCCACGATGCTCCATGGCTGTTGGCTTTGATGCACGAGTCAGGTACATGGTTCGTGCGCTTCGTTGTGGCGTTATTCATTGCACGCGGGAAGAAATGCTGCTATAGTAACAGGTGCATCGCTACTAGTAACAAGTGCATTACTGCATTACTGCGTTACTACTAGTAGCAAATATAGCTACTAACTTCTTAGTGCTTCTTGCTACTAGCAGATCACCTTGACAGATCGCTGAGAATGCAAGGGTTGAAGAAAATCGGCCATCCACCCCGCACACGGGTCCGCACTGAGGTAAGGTCGGTCCACAAACGGGTTGGCTTTGCCCAGAGGACGACTGCACACCTTGCGATATGTACGAGCTTCCGGATTTCAACACCGTTCCTTGGTGAGGGAGCGATGCACTGCCAGCCTGCGCTGGTGGCTGCGCCAGTGCAGGGACGCGGTGCGCGGTGGGACACCGGTGGGACACCGGTCCGGTGCGAAGAAGTGTTTTGGAAGAGTGGTCAGTCGCAAGCGGAAGGTGGATCTTGTGCCCGAAGGCCCTCCGCAAAACATGCCCGAAGGCCGTGACTTCAAGGTGTCGAAGTCTATGGGTATAGGTATATAAATGTATATAATATATTACAGTATACATATATATCTTCAGAATGGAGCAAGCTTGAATTGAATACCACTGGTGGTTCTTGGTGCATAGTTTGGCTTCGCATGCTTTCGCACTTTGTTTTTTTCAGCTGGACACTGGGCGTGCGGTCCGTGATGGATGGGTGTTCGAGCAGCTCAGGAATTACAAGAGGTGCGAGATATGCAATTCAAGCATCTTGACTGAGATGCACAGATCCACGTTGTTCATCTTTGTCCTCAATGGTGTAATCTCCAGGGCTCGTTTCGCAAGGGCCGCTGCCAGGTCCGCAGATGCGGAGCTCAAGCTTTCAATTGACCTAATGTTGTCCTACACGGGGCTTTCTGCTGGTGGGTGGTCTCAGTTCAAGCTGTGACGACCTGTGGTGCGCACCCATTGAAGCTTCAGTTCTTTGTTCTTTCAACACTAGTCACTAGCCCAATGGTTTGATTCTGAAGAGAACCGCCTACTGTCAACTGTCAACTTCTGGCGCACAAAGTTCCAGGCATTTGGAGGAACTCTACCACATTGGGATCACCGGACTCCGGGTGGATGCGGCCATCTATCATCATGTCTATGAGCTGGCCGAGCCTTGGCAGGGTGACGGGGAGTTGGGAGGGGGAGCAGAGCAGTATGGACTCAGGACTGACGTGCTTGCTAGCTTCAAAGCAGTCAATGGCCAAGGCCTTCGAAGACAAGGGGAGGAGATGTGGCAAATGGATACAAGAAGGGACAGACAGTTAGAATATAAAATCAAACAAATTAGGTATTTAAAAGCCTAAGTACTAAGGCTGATGCCTGACAACCAACCGCATATATAAGATATTGTTGATTGCGAAGCTCATGACTTTCACACAGCGCGAGTTAACCAGTTCCTTTTGTGTAGAGCGCTGTGCACGTGCAGAGCCTCCAGTGGCTGAGGCCCCAAGTAGGATGTTTTCACAGCTGAGTAGGAGAGAGTAAGAGAGAACGAGAAACTCTGGCTGAAGCACCTTTTATGCAACAGATCTGGAAAAGTGTGCCAGTGTGGCGCTATGAGTTGTTGTTGTTGTTGTTGTTGTTGTTGTTGGTTCCATTCCCCTCCACAGATGTGTCAAGTGTGTCGTTTTGCTCGATTGTAAGGACATGCTGAATCGGCTTCCCTGGGACTTGATCTACCAAGAGTGGTGGGGCGAATACCCTCCGCAAGATCGCACCGATTATGTCGGCTTGTATCGCACCTTGGTCTTTGGTTTGATTCGCTGATGGCATTGGGGGCACCACTTTTGAGAGAATGTGTCTTGAAGTGAGGAGTGGAGGAGGCCACTCATTTTCAGACAACCACTACCATATCCCACATGAATCATGATGAACAGAGCCTGAACCGTTGCCGCAATGTGACGGAACACCAGTTGCACGCCTTGAATCCATGTTGATTTTCCACTTGTCGACGTTGGTGTGGCAGCGTAGGTGACGTCGCTTATAGATGGCACCTGGTGAATCGTTTGAGCAACCTCAACGCCTCTGAGCTACCGCAGCTGCTGGAGCTGGAGGGCGGTGTTTTCGGCATCAGCCAAGACATGGCGGTGTACCCTTTCGCATACCACGATGCTTGGAACAAGCAGACACTATCACAATGCGTGTCTCATTTGGCTAAGCCCACCGTTCAGCTAACCTTGGCGGGGCGCTGGGAAGACCATGATTCCTTCAAAGTGGTGCTTCACCTTGAATTATCCCTGGGGCTCCAACCATCTCCTCAGGAGGTGGTTAGACCCCCCCAAACCCACCCCAACCACCTTCTCAGGAGGGGTATATAGATGCTGTGATGGTGCAACGCCTTTTAGAATTGCTCAGAGGCTCCAAACACACAGCCCTTGATCCCTCAAAACCTCAGACCCGAGACCCAATTCGGGCGAGTCCAGGGCCCCTCCTCTGGGTGGGATGAATTGGGGGAGAGGATTCGAACGCACATGCAGGAGCCCAAGTCGCCATTGCTGTGCTTTGCCGTTGGGGGAACCATCTGGAACCTGGTCGGTTGGGGCTAAAGCAGGGGCTCAGCTGCTCAGCCTCCTTCCACCGAAGCCATCCAAAAACCAGTGAGGCATTGTTGCTTGTTTGCCAACGCACGGGGGGCCGGATTTGGTCAGCTTCTCATTTGCTTTTGACTTTTTCACTTGCTTTCTAATATATATACATCTACGTACTGTCACACTCTGTAGGATGGGAGAAGCAAAGATGCCGACCCGGAGATTGCGACATACAAGAATGGATTGGCATTCCACCAGCAGCAGAAGTTCTTTCTGTCCTGGCCCGTCGGATGCTTCACTGAAGTTGGGAATATGCTTATTCCCCGACTCGATACATCACCGAGTGTTTGATTTTGGAGTCTTAGAGCGTGTTTGGGACTAGGTCAGCATATAGGCTGATGTACAGTATAGGATGCTTTTGATGGATTGGTTTTCCCCGGTTTCATTCTACGTACCGTTTTGTATCGTTCACTGGGAGCAAGACTAGTCGACCACATGGCTGGCCACATGGCTTTGTGGCCGCAGTGGCAAGCGCACATGGAGGCTGAGCCTCTCAGGCTGAGCGGCCGGTGACTGCTGGACTGCTGGAGCTCGAGCTTTCACTCCGTCCAATTGAAAGTGTGTTTCAGCTGATGCGGCATTTGGCACTGAGTTCACTTCAGGCTTGAAGAAGATAGGAATTTGCGGGTTTGAAAGGCTCCCAGTTGTTCACCCTCATGCTTCGACAGGGTCAGGAAGGAGGAGCGGAGGAGCGCGAGCGGAGCGGCATCTCTTGCTGCCTCACGCAGTAGATGTTCGGTGCTTATCAAGGTGCAAGGTGAGCCAGAGTGAGGTTTCACGCGTTTTTGAAACTTTGGGCTAAAGATGCACCCTTGACAGTCACCCTGAAAACATTTGTTTCTACATCCTGACAACCTCAAGCAGCATACACTCATTTTCTCATCCACGGGGGAGGGTACAGAGGAATTCAACAATGATAAATCACACACACACACCATTACACACGCTTGTCAAGACTGTTCAATCCATGACCAGTTCAGACATGTTGTCTTTCTTCCCAAGGAAATTCGGTGCTGATTTGGGGCGGCTATGGCTGGCGCGACTTGAGCCATGGGCCTCCGGGCTGTGACCGAGCTGATGGGGATCACTGCTCACCCAAGCCGGCACCTGGGCGGGGCGGGCCGAGGGACACGGACGGAAGGCCCAGTTTGGAGATGAACTCAAATGGATCATCTTGAAGAATACTGTGCTCTTGGCATCTCTTGGCACACCTGAGTTTGGTGGTAACTCACTGGGAGCAGTTATTTTTTAAAGTGAGGTCTATGACGCGAATGGCCTGCCGCAGTGTTTGCGCGCCCCTGAGCTTTCACCGCTGCCACGCACAGCAGCACGAGAGCGGCGATGGATTTGTGAGCATCGATGGCAGGGTGTAGCAGGCACAACATGGATCCAATGGGCTAGGCTGCCATGGTTTTGCCACTTTTAACTTTTTGATTGATGGATTCATGCGGATTGACATGCATGGATTTCACCAGGGCAAGCAGGACTCTGCGGACTCTTCTGCACACAGAGGCCTCATTTCAGTGCTTTCAACTCCATGCTTTGTGATGTTCATGTTCGGCGTTCCAACGGGCGTTGAGGCTTCATGCTGTCTTCGACCCTCTATCTTTCATGCTTTCATGCTTCCTGATCTCTCTCGTGGAAAAAAGACTAACTTTTTGTTTGCAAGAAGTGACGTGTTTTTTTTTGTTTGGAAATTAGCTCTTAAGCATGCGTTCTTCGGACCGGTGGAGTCGCCGGGCAGGCCTGGTGCACTTTCGGAAGGCTTGTCGTGGACATGAAGTCACCCAGACCTGGAAGCTTGTCTTGAAACACATCCTGATCCTGATTTTTAGGCCCAGAGCTTTGCGCAATGAGAACCACAAAATGTTCCAAAGATCTCATCATTCAAGATCAAACAAGACATAAAAACTCGAGTCAAAAACTCAGGAACCTCCTATTATATAGCTTATTGTAATATCGCGGAATCGCGGATGCCCGGGCGGCCCAAGGGGAAGCGACGGCGAGTCCGCTCTGGGTCTGGGGCGCCTGGCCTTCCGCTTGGGCCGCGCCTGCTTCGTCGCGCTGGTGCGGGGCCGACGCCTTGGAGAGCTGCTCGGTGAGGTGGAAAAGCAGGGCAACATGTGGACTCTTGATTGATTGCTTGATGAACCAAACTCCCCTTACAAAGACTTGTTTTAAATAAATACACATGGTTTTACAGTCCAAAGACATCCAAAGGGCAGTTTTCTATATTTTTAAATCACGTGTCTCAATTAAGGTGGAATGTTTTAGATTTGTTGGTGGAAATATTAATCTGTTCCGTTTCTCAACCGACAAGATGTTCCAACAGCCCACTCAGGGGCGTGAGGATGGAGGGAGGGAGAGGGAGATAAAGAAAGAGAGAGAGAGAGAAAAAGATAATATATAGAAGGAGTTGTTTGGGAGCAATCAATCCTCACTGTTGTGCGCACTTCTGTGAGGATACAGGATGGGCGGTTCTAGAATCGGACGCGCAAGACTTTCCTTGCAGCGGGGTCACTGCTTCCCAGGGCTGTGTGCGGGGTCTCCTAGGCGGCCCTCCCTAGTGCCCTCCCTTCTAGAGTCACTTGCTGTGGTGTAAGCAGCCCATTCGCATTTGGACAGAAAGACCATTTTGACCGGGCCATGCTATTTGATTTTGTGTCTCTTGGATAGTAGGATAGGGGGTGAGAGTTCTTGACTTCTTGTTTTGTCGAGGGGACTCGAACATCTCGATGGATATTCAGGCGTTCTATCGGCTTTTGGAGGCAGAGTCCGCATTGAACACCATTTGGGGAATATGGTTTACAGTAACTGGATCTCCGGTGGGGTCAGTTGAACTTACCCAACTGCTCCACTTGCAGAAGACTTATGGTCCGCGCACGCTCACCCTCCCAAGGCCTGAAGATGTGAAGGTGGTGGGCGTGGGAGGCACTTGGGATCTGAAAGGGCTTCACATTGGTGTGCCTGCAGGCTGCTATTGCGATGCTTGGTTGAAGGCTGCAGTTGAGGCTTTTGTATATATAGGTTACAGTGTTGTAGCTGCCTTCTAACCGAGTTGAAATGGGCGGAATATGAAACGGACAGTGGTCAACTCGGTGGGTTTGGCCAAGTGTTGGCATTTACAAAGATCACTACGCATATATACGTATACTTTGACATTCCTGTCGAGAGCGGGTAAGAGGGACAGGTGAGCACATGATTTGTAATGTTGATACTGCCCACCCATGGCCACCTTTCGTAAATCAGATCTGAAGAGTAGGGAGCTTTGCGTCATTCCTAGCCGCGGGTGACCATCATCCAGAGGTGGGGAGTTGGAGGGCAACCTTTCATCTTTGTGATGTTTGAATCGCATGGGAGCAAACAAGGCCTGAAACTGTAGGAGAAATCGTAGACCTGCGGTTGGGAGCCCGACAAACCGTGGGCTTTTGCATGTAAGTTCGGGGTGATGCCCTGCTATTTGCAAGAAATCCATAGAATCCTACAACATGATACAACATGTAAAATTCACTAGAATACTAGAAAGACAGACTCAGAGACAGAAGACCTGAAGACACCGGGCAATTTTTACAGGCAGCGATAGGCTTCAAAAACCACGAGTTGCAGAGCAGAAAAAAAACTGCTGCAACAAGACGTGTCGAGGACCTCTCCTCTCTGGAGACCCAGAAGGGCTGGGACATGAGCAGCTGCCCACGCCAAGTGCGTGTCAACGGTGCTGGCGAGGTCGTAGAAGGCGGCGGAGACGAGCTGTTGGGAGAGAAGCCGCCCACTCACATCCACTCACCGGCCTGGACGTATAAATTTGCGTTTAGCATAGCACAAACACTTTACATATAACCCCAACAAATTGTTTAGCCTCGAAAGCTCATCACTTCATCACCTGCAGACCTACACAATCCTACACATGCTGCAGACGACATGCTTCATTGTATGATAGACATGTGACTTCGGGATTCCTAGGATTAGATGTGGTGTTGGTCACACCTTTAGCCTTGAAAAACGACTCCCCTCTATGCCTGGCGGCCTCGAGCCGAGCCAGGCCATGTGGCAGAAGGCGAGATCTTGGCGATTCACAGTGGAGCCCAGCTGAGGCCGAAACCGCATACCCACTGATGGGTGGCCGAGGCTGACTGCAGGTGCGAACGGTGAGCCATTGGGAGCCTGGAAGGCACTGGAAGGCAGGTTGAAAGATGTGAAGGATGTGAATCGGATGGAGGGATGCCTTCCAAATACGATTATACAATGATGGTTGACATGTTGAAACTTCAATCTGCGATTGCAGCCAACCTCACAAAGATGGTCCTCCCAATGTTGAGGCTTTGTGGATGTACGCTTGTACCTGGCGTCGAGACCCCCGAAATCCACAAGGTTCATCGTCCAGTTTGATTGGTTTCATGAAGCAAGCCTTCAAGTTGGTCACAGTGAACTCCACCTGCTTGTCAGTGTTCGGTGGACAGGCGGATCGACTCAAGAGAACCTGGGAGCAGCATTGAGGATTTAGAAGTGGACATCTCCTTCGGATGGTGACAGGACCCCTTCCCACTGCAAAATCGTCCATTTGGGGTATCAACTGGTTGACTTATTCAACACTGATCAACACTGATCAACTGGTTGGCTTTCCCAGAGCTAACACCATAATGACATGGTGCCTTTGCTTGCTGCAGCCTGCTAACGCAGCGAACCCGCCCCTTAAAAATTCCTTTTATGGAATCATGCCACCTGGGTACCCATATGAATTTCAAAGGGGATGTTGTGATCATTTTTGATGCCAAGATGGAGACCATTTCCAACAGGTCTTCCACCACCAAAACCGAGAGCCGCGCAGAGAGAGCCGGCGCAACAGCTCGGTCGATCCCGTCACCGATGGGTCATGGAAAAAGCTTGGAAGGTTGGACATGGTTGGTCAATGGAATTGAAATGAATGGAACAAATCACAGATCGGGCGATGACAGGGGTGGCGACGAACATGTGAAGGATCTGCTGGAAAAAAACCAAGGAGCACCACAGCCAAGCGCTTGCTATAGCACCCTGAGTCATCGGCGCAGGTCAGTAGCACGAGCCACATTTCTTTCTGCCCAAAGTTGTACAATTGTTGGCAGTTTGCTCGTGTTTTCAAGAGCCAGAGGAATTGTGGCAAATGGTGGCAAACGCATAATGTTAACATGTGTTAACCTCTCATTAGTAAGCCCCCTATATAGCATTTTATCGGGGTAGTCAAAACTCTCAACCGCAACCTTAATAAAAAGAACTTCCAGGCCACTCAGAACTTAAAAGTAAACGGGAAAGCACAAGGCAAGGATAAGCCAGCAGGGCTGCAGAGGGGTTGATTATTGTGGGTTTGTTTGTAATTGCAGGGGGGTGGGAGTCTAAAGGGGTACCCTTTGAAGTCTTTTTTGTATTTGTTTGATAGGGTTTGAATAAGGACACCTAAAAGCTTTTGGCTAGCCAAAGTTTTTGGAAATCTGATGGGGTTTGGATGTTGTCGCAATTGTAAGTAGTATTGCAAATTCCTGGCAGGCAGATTATTATTAGGACATGTTTACAATTAATTGAGACCCAATTGTTTTTCAATCTTTGGGTCTGGATTTTGTCGCAATTCAAGGTAGTATTGCAAAATCCTGGCAGGCCAAAAAAACAGATTATATCAATATTATTGACACATGGTTCATTACTGGGAGGTTAACATTATCAAGATTCCATGTCACGCCGTCCCACTACCGATTTGCCACAGCATCGCACAAGTACAAATGCTTGACCTTCGAACTTTGTTGATAGCGGCCCCATTTAAGAAAATCGATGGACACGATGTTCAACAAATTTCTGAAAATCTACTTGGGTGACCAAAACGGCATGTTTTTCACAAAGAACGACTCAAACACGAGCTCGTGAAAGCTACGGGAGGGGTGTGAGAGCTCTTGCAGGAAAAGGGTTCTTAGAAAATTTGGAAAGACTTCTTGGCTTCTTCATTTTTCTATATGGGCAATGATAGGCATCAAGCTCCATGAATAGAATAGATTCCGGGACTGCTCTGGGTGCATCAGTAGCTTGAGAACGGAAGGGGATACTGTTCCGATGATTTGCGCACAATTCCTCGAGTCGTTGCCACGTCTTGGTGGGCGCGGGCCGAAGTAGGGCATGTGTTAGAGGGTGTTCGAGGGGGTTTTGACATGGGTTGACTTATTCCAGGATGTCCCAGCTCGGCCTCGGCCTTTCCCCTTGTAAGCGGACTTCCACCCAGTGAAGCCGACTGAATTGGAGGATGTGCTCGTAAGTTCCAGCCAGTTGGGCGAGAATAGGCCCCTTGTTCTGGTGGACCAGCTTTGCGGGAGCCTCCTGCTGAATGGAAGGCAGGAAGGCCTGAAAAGGAAGATAATGATCCTCAGGTACTTTTTAGGTGTTCTTTCTTGTGGGAGCTACAGCCCGAATGATTTGCACACATGGCAGCTTTGCTCATGTGCCATCAACCAGAGTTGGGCTGCTTTCCATCAGCACATGCATGTGCACGAATGCAGAGAGGCGAACAATGGCCAGAAAACATGCGCCAGCACACAGCAAGCGGTGGGCAGGATCGTGGACACGACCTGGGCCGTGGGCCAAACACGTCGAATTCCCTGAGTTAAAAAAATTAACATGACAAAAATAACAGATTGGGCCAAGAAGGTAAGACTATTGGTGATGCTTGGCGGCATCGACGATGTGCGGCAACTGCTTCCGTGGGTGTCTCACAGTGCTCAGTGACCGCCCAACGATCTCCCTGGGCTTGGCACCTCAGCTGCGGTCACCCGGCTCCAGGCTCCGGGCTCCGGGGATCGGACCGCTGGGTGTCGTCCAAGGCCCGTGGGGATGCCATCACTCAGCCGGAAGGTGAAGATGGAGAGATCAACTTCGTGCCTCGGGTCACCGGCGGGGGTCACCAGGGCCACCGGAGCAACTAGCGCAGGAGAATCGGCCCCTTTAAAGGGGAAGGCGCCTTTAAGGTTTCGGAGGGTTTTTTTTGGCTTTGAGAATCCCATCCAATGAGCCGTGGCCTTATGAAACAGGAGCCTGACTTTTGTTCCCTTTGAATCCCCTTGGAGGATCTTGGAGGATACGTGTCCACACGTTCCAAAGACTAAAGACAACCGATCCGAGATCTACTGATATCCGATGTGCTTAACAATGATTTTTCTACTGTATCACGTGTGGCTCCACAATCCGAGTTGTGCGTCCATCGCATGTGCTACATGACCCTGAAAACTGTCACGGAAATTGCAGATCTCAGGATGACATCCATGACGAGTGGTTCGTGGAGGCGTGTCCAAACAAAGTTGTGCAAAGGTTGAGCAGGTGACACCCGACCAGACGACCAAGCGACCAAGAGCAGACTGGGTGCATGGTGGCAAACCAGTAATAGAAGTGTTCCATTGAGAAGGGACCCCCCCAATCCTCGTCAACGATAGCTTTAGGCTTTAGAGTGCTCCACATAGTCCACTTATTGCAGGGCGTTTATCGGAAACTAAGATTTTGCAAGGTTTGTTCATGGACACACGGTCGTGGCATGCGGGACAGGTTCCCAGACAATGTAACGGCTTCCACGTTTGGGAGTAGAAGAAGACGATTACCACAAGGGTGAAGGTGTGCATTTATGTTACAAATGGTGCAAACTATATACCAAACGTTCCAAAACAATAAATGATGTAACGTTGTTACATATAGGTTATACTCTTTCTGCCACTTTGACGATGGCACAGTCGCAGTTGCTGGTCCCGGCGTGGAGGACCTTTTGAAGTGAGACATGGAACCTTGGAACGAGGACGCCCAGGTGTCAACATGGCTACCCTACCCCAAACAAACATTGCAAGTGGACAATTTGTTTGTAGAGGAAACTCCCATTCCGGGAGGCCATTAGCTCCACTTAAGGACACCTTCCTTGAGGGACGGTGCACTTAACGAGGGCAGAAAGGCTGGAGCTGCGCTCAGCTGAGCCCCCCACGTGACCGACAGCAGGCCATTGAGAAGATCGATTTGCCCCCACCCTGGGAGAAGCGTCGCGTGCGCGGCAATAGCGACAGGCGCGTTTTTTTTTGAAGACGCGACCAGTGGAGCGGTGTGGGGGGAGGACATGAGGAGACCGGGGGCCAACAAGACGGCATAGCCACGAAAAGAACTTCTATAGCCAACTAGCAACAGCCTATATAATATATAGAAAAAACATTTGAGATCATTTGAGCATTAGTTAAGAGAGTGTTCGATGTTGCAAATTCAAACGCTGATGGCATGCCTGGTGCAGCACAGACATGAGAAGAGGTTGGCGCTTATGAAGCGCTAAGCTGACAAAGGATCATGTGGCATATTGGTCCTTGTCGTCACTTGTCACTGCATGTTTCTCACTGGTGAAGTTGAATAATGTTGAAGATCGTTCTGCATAGAAAAGCTGAACGATTGGGTCAACAAAAACCGCTCCTGGGGGAGTTTCACCTTTTTCTATTTTTGCACGGGAGATCAGTCTCTCAATCCTCCAGATCTCCCATCATCTGGAGGCCTGGAAGGATGTACTTCTTGGATCCCAGGTGGGGTGGAGCTTCGCCGGTGAGCTTCGCCGGGTTTCAGTTTGCGTGTGGGATGGTTGAGGCCAGCCATGACTATCATTTTCCGCCTTGGAGAAAGAAACGTTTGGGCGGTGCCCAGTTGGAGTCTAGCTTCCAGGACACTTATAACAGACACACATACATTCTTAACATTAGGCAACGGTATGTTTTGCCGTCTAGACGGCGCAACAACCCTGCGACACGGCCGTTTTCCCACGAACGATTTTATGGGAAGGGAATGCCAGACTTGTGAGTCTACTGGCTTTGGTGATTGAAAGATTTGTATTAGTACACCAACACTTGTATTGTATCATGTTTCACTTGGTGTTGGTGTTTGCTTCCTTGTTTTTTGTGCCTAGTCTCTTGAGCGGGATATCCCGACAGATCACACTAGATGACTACTCCGCCGGAGTGTTTCTCGAGGATGGACCATCACCCGGTAGGTAGGCTCGATGAGCCTATCCGGACTCCGAATCCGCCCGGTTTCGCCGTGTGAATTCCACACCATTGGGTCCACCCTTCGACGCAACGCTGTGAGGTCGAAGCGTACGACTTGGAAAGATCCCAGGTCGGCGCCCGCTCTCAGCGTGCGTTGGTCGGTCCGAGGGTGGAGAGAGAGAGAGAGAGAGTTGGCCACGGTACTCAGAGGTCTATTTGGAACAGGATGGAGCAACATATGCAGTATTGATGTCGTGTTGGTTTAATGTTGTTTAATGCATTATCCCAGTGATTTCAAGCAAAAAAAGAACACATATTATTCACTTCCTTGTGCCCTCTTTTTCGGATCAATTGGTTTCTTGAATGTTTGCACGTTGATTTGACGGTCAGACGAGCTGATTTTGCACTTGTCAAGGCAGAACAAATCAGTCCCTAGTCTCAATTACATTCCCTGTTGATTCTGTGTTTGTATGTTAACCGTGTTTTGTTTTATTTTTGTTTTGTTTGCCACTGTTTCTTCATCCGGGCTTGCCATGCATAAGTCCGAAGCTCACAACGCCGACAGCTTTCAGGTTTCTGCCCGACAGCTGGGATCAACGGGTGGACCCGGCCACTGGGAAGGCGCCGCCGCGCGTGTTCGCGGCGCATGCGGCGCGTGGGAGCTTCAAGTTAGCATCAAAGTCGCTGATGGTCAGTGACTTACCTCCAGAATGCTGGCACTTTGCGCAGTTGGGCATCAGAAACGCTGATGGTCAGTGGTTCCCCTAGCGACATGAATGCGTGAGGATGCTTCTTTTGCCAGAGCCAGAGGGCGTCATGATGCGACATGTTAGGGTTTGAAGCATTTAAGGAGCTTCCATTCACATTGCTCCATTGCTGGGGTCCACTGGCAGCAGCAACTCGGTCCGAAGCGAACTCAAAGCTCACTAGCCTCCCTCCCAGTTGCCTTGAAATGCCTTGAGCACACCCCCAAAACCTCCCCACCTCCCCTGCTACCGGGTTGCTACCGTTCCCCTCCTTGTGAGTCCCTTCCGTCCACCGGAGTGACTCACAGCTGAGACGGGGCGCCGGCGGAGCTCGTTGGGTCGCGAGGTCTATTTCCAATACCATCGCACGCGACAGACAACCTACGTGGACCCCCGGAGC